AAATGTTGATATCATCGTTTTCTTCTTCTTTTTTTATCATTACAAGTTTATCTATAATTACTATTATTAATATGATTGTCAGTCGGATGAATGAATGTGAATGAATGAAAATATCTCACCTGTACATTCCAGAATATTTATATAAAAACAAATGTGTTTATACAAAAATATTTTAAAGTTTGTATCGATCTACATTTATTTCTTTGTTTTGTTAAATCAGAAGGCCATACTGAAAATAAGTATACTTTCTTACTGTGTAAACTTCGTATGATACCTTCTATAAATAAAGATTTTATTATTACTATTATTATTATTATTATTATTATAATTATTATTATTATTACTATTATTATTATTACTATTTTTTCTTTCTTCAATGTATGTCATATATCCTTAGTTTAAACATATTTTATTGTATATATATTTTCACAATTTTATATAAATACATTAATGTAAATATACTAAAGGGTTGGGCCAAAAGTAATAACAACATTATCGGGGGCCCTCTCCTGAAATACTGACTGCAATGTTATTTAAAAATAGATGTGAATAAGACATATGTAAAGTATGATTTATTAAATTGAAATATAAGAAAAAATAATTAGAGAAAACAATTAGTAAATAAATACATTTTTTGATATTTTGAAAACCACGCTGCCTCCCTCCAGCAGATTTACTATGAATTTTTACAGTTGATAATTATAATCTAACCAATTTGTATAGAATCACAAAACAAAGTATAAAAGAAAATCAAATGTTGTAAAACTATCAAAACATTTTCTTTTCTTTAACAGTGTGATAAACACGATGAAATAAAAGCATGTTTTGAGATTAATTTAACGTATTAATACCAAGACTTTGCGTACTGAGAGTATGGAATTGTCTTTAATTTCTAAAGAGTTCTATCCTCTGATGAATATATTTTTTGAATTGAAATAAAAATGTTCAGCGTCCTCTTTTAACGCATTGCATTCACAACCTGGGTTTTGTTTAATATGATTGTTATATATGTCGAAGTTTATATGGTGCACGCTCATGGTAAGACGGAACAATGGGAAGTTTATACAAAAATATTATTTCAGTTTTTGTTTTAAATTTTTCTAACGAGTCAGATTCTCTTATATTCTCTATATATAAAGCTGTATTGATGACGGTATAACTGATTTTGACTATAATTCGGTTCTCCTTGCCTTAGTTACATGGTTGATGTAATTTCTTTAAACTATACTGATTTTCAATTGTATATTCTACTAAAGGGGGAAATAACTGTGATAAATATAATGGTAGTAAATTATGTTTCTCTTTGTATACTAAATCAAGTGTTTGAAATTTTATTCTTCTGCTAAAGATACAAACCCTATTTCTTGTCATAATGTTTGAATTGACACTGATCTTGTTAAGCCGGTAACTCTAGCCCCTTCATATTGCATTTTTTCTAAAATGACTTTCTCATACTGGATACAATTATCCCATAAAAGTGAAGCATATTCAAGACGCGGACATAAGTATGATATTGAGTGTACTTCTTTGAATTTGAGATTTTATCATTTTCATATAACCTAACATTTTAAATGCCGAAGAAACTATAATAGAAATATGTTCGTGCCATGATCCGTCCTGACTTAGAGTAACGCCGAGGTGTTTATGGTGCTCTACAAAATTTAATGAACATTATCAAAGTATAATTGTGGGCGATCTCTATTACAAAATGAAAAATAACATATCCTCGGTTTTAGAAGCATTAAAAATTACTAACCATTCTTTAGACCATTTTTTAACATGTTGAGATCGTGATTGAGTCAATCGTACTGATATTATTTGTAGACACAGCTAAAGAACTATCATCTGCAAAAAGTCGAATTATACTTAAAAGGGAAACAGTTATATCATTAACATAAATTAGAACTAAAGAGGCCAAAGAACCGAGCCTTGAGGGACATCGCTATGAAGGTAACGTTAATTAGAAAAGGAAGTCTTAACAAAAACTTTCTAGTTTCTGTTCATAAAATAATTTTCTAGCCAAAGAATTAAATCACCTGAAATTCCGTACTGTCAAACACTTATGCCAAACGCTTTTGATATATCACAGAAAACCATACATGTAGATTCATTTTCGTCTAAAGCATTAAAAATTGGATCATATATATATATATAAGTTGAAAAACAGTTGACTGACGTGGTAAAAAGCCTGACTGATTTTGAAATATTACAGCATTTTCATGTAGATAGTTAAAAATATGCTTTTTTTTATATATATTTGCAAAATATATGTAATTTCATGTTCACATATTGCATTTTTTTAAGAATGGCCTCTGTTCTTAAAGTTAACTCTGGAAGATCAATATTTGATTCGTCAATATCTGAAATGGAAACAATAAAAATCATTAAGCGTATTAGCTTTTTCAATATCTGTCATTGAATGGTTATTGTTACTTGTATTAAACTTCAAAGGAGGTATACTTTGACGAGTTTTCCTTGACAAGCATTTTAATTGTATGCCAATATTTACGGATTGGAAGAATTTAAGTCATTAACGAAGAATGCGAGGTTATTATAGACCTTTTTTACAGTACGATTTTTTCAATAGCAACGTATGTTGCATTTCGCGCATGCACATTCTGCGTAGGGCAAAAGCGCAATAACGATAGAATACATTTTATCGTACTTAAAGGCTATAAAAGGCGTGATTTCAAGTTATGTCACCCAGAAAAAAGAAATTTTGGGATGAATTAAAGCGGTAAGTACTTAAAACGAGAATTGATATTTATAACAGATATACAAAATTAGCGGGACTTATAACTCAACGACCAAAGGTCCTCTTTTCAAGGTATCATTAAGTGACTTTTTATCAGTAATTTCAATTAAAACAGAAGGGTGTTAATGATCACATTTTATTACCCATGTAAAACATAATATAACACAATTGGTATTCCTTTGAAAGTGGATTGGCAGTGTCAAACAGATTGACACGTGACCGGTTGTTATTTGCCAGCTAGTTTGAAATATCATTCAACCAGATCGTTTTAGTACCATGACATAGTTAATTACTTAAAACTATGAAAATGATTAATCATATTAACTGTATTTCTTAATTGTTTTTATAATACCCAGTCTGATGATCAATTAGAATTCAATACTTTGTGAAACTATTTATCTCTTTGGCGCGATTTTCTGCGAATTTCTGAATTTAACCAGGGTTTATCCTTAGGATTTATCAACGCCATATATGCAGGAATACAATGTTTTGCAAGTTTTAGGAATTTATCAGTAAAAATGTCATAAGCTTGATCTATATTTCCATCTTTTATATCTGACCAATCCGTATTGCGGATAAGATAATTTAGTGTTGAAAAATCAGCTTTTTGTAGTTCCAAACACGTCTTTTGAATGGTTTATTTGAATCAAAAACGATTTTTAGAAAAATATATATTCCAAAAATGGTTATGTTACTATCTTCTTTTGGTGTTTCAAATATACCCGAATCAAAAAAGAAAATATTGTTTGTAACTGCGATAGGATCAAGTAATGTTTGTGAACTAGATGTTATTCGAGTTGGGGCATTTATAAAATTAGTCATATTATTTAGTAATAGAATTTATGATTGGAAGAATTGAGTTGGTCTTCATTTATATCATCTACCAAAATTATATTTTGTTTTTGACATATATCCTTGAATAATGCCGGTTATCTGCCTGTGTAACATATTTTGAAATATTTGGAATGATGTTTCTGGCCAACCTGAACTACAAAATAGTTCATTTTTAGGTCTCCTGCCCACTAACAGTGATTTGATTGGCTACGCGCAAAGGCGGGCCAATGTGTCGGAGTCCGCAATTTGTGTTAGTTTCTAATCACAGTTGTTATTTTAACGTTATCTTTAATGTCACAGGGTCAAGTATAATTTGCCCGTATTGCAGAGTGTTGTATGTTTTTGTTATGTTCGTGTCAATGTTTGCCTCTTCACAATTATGTATAATTCTCCATGCCCCTGATTGTTTTCCGTAGTTAATTCTTTAATTCATATACTCATAGCTCAATTCCCATACCAAAAAGCCGTGACCTATGCATAATATAACTTTATAACCTTTTCAACCTATTCGATTATCTTTCTTCGCTAATTTTTCAATTCCCCCGCTCATCTGCACAAAGCATGTGGCGCAGGCCACGGTTTTGTTATAGAGAAAAATAAATACTTTGAGTAACGCATATTTGTCTTTTTACAGGGAACTAGACTTTTGCATATGATGCCTTTATTACTCATATATATATATATATATATATATATATATATATATATATATATATATATATATATATATATATATATATATATATATATATATATTACCATTCTCCTATTTTGTGATTTTCATATTTGCACTTAAAATGAGAAATTGTTGTCGCAGGCCACGATTTTATTGTAGAGAAGAATACATGTTTTGGGTAGCGCATACTTGTCTTTTTACAGATCCCTCTACTCCAGGTCCAGAGCTAGCACTTTGATTTTCAACATACAATATACATGTATTTTCAAAATATGTAAGCCTTATTATAGACATAGTTAAATACTTACGGAAAAAAATGCAATTGAATATATGTCGGGCTGTCTGTTCACGGTCCGGTGTACAATTATTTATATTTTTGGGGATATTTGCACAAATTACATAACATCTCACTTACCTGAACGAAATTATAGCACTTATGATGTTTTTTCATGACACATCGGCATTTTGTCATTGCTCAGCTTTTCAATCGCTTGACCAAATATGGGCAATTCAAAAACTTGTTCTTCGACTTTAACGTTAGGGTTATAAAAAGAAACACTTCTGACCATCTAAGTGTTTTACACATGGAAATAAAACTCATAATGGTCTATACTTTGACCTAATCCTATGACTTCGACGAAATGAGCAGAAATACGAGGAAAACAAACCCAAAAATCAAATCTCATATTTCTTTTTTTTTAAAACAAATCATAAGGCAAAACGGGTAAAATTAATGGGCTGCTGTCTTTATTCATTGTTTCCATAGAAAGAAATATTTCTTCTTTTTCGGCCCGAACAATAGTCAAAGAAAAGTTTGTTTATATTATTTGTATATATTTTGTTAGAAATATTTGATTCTAATCATGATATATTCATGTATTTGTTTGAAATTATCTGAACATATCCAATTATATGTCAAAGAGTTCATTTTAGTGTATTATACATGAATATAACATTTTATCATAACTTAACAGATACAGTTCTCTTTTTTTTGTGGGAAGAAATAACTCTTACAATATAATTATTTGATATAAATTCAATAGTTAATTGTGTAAATATGAATAACAATAACAATACAAGTTATCACGGATAAACAAATTAGAACGTTGAAATTGTTTTAAGAATGATACACTCCAAATAAACAATGCACAAAATTTCGTGTCAACAAATGAATATAAATTGTATTTGATATTTTATCAGTTTCAAATATTAATATGACAACTAAAACAGTATTAGGAATGCAGTTATTATTTTGTGGTACATGTATATGCATATTTTATTATCTTATCCACAAAATACATTAATAATATTGTACATCATGTTACATTAAACATAGTCTATACTAAGCACTCATTATAAATCTAATAAATATATATACATGTATATCCGCACTTTTATAACGTTACGTCATTGTTATATCTGTTATAATTATATTATACGTTACTGTCTGAAGATATTTAAAAAAAACATTGAAAGCGCTAACAGAAATAAACGTATAAAAAATAACGAACTTTGTACTCTGCATTTCCCAAAACATACTTTTTTATACATGTATATATATACACACGCTATTATATTGTCTGCGGTGCAAACATTCAATATAGATTGCAAAGGTATGTGTGTTGTTTTTGCAGCAGATGTCAATGCTATAGTAAGTTATCACGACGTAGAGAAAGATGGTTCTCATAACAGTGAAAGTAAATACATTATATAATAAACAGTTGCATAAGTAAATCAATGTGAACACTTAAAAAGTACAGAAAGATGTGCTATCGGTTTCATCACTATCGACATTTGATACAGTCTGAACTGCTTTCAATAGAAAATAGTGTGAATTTAGAATGTGTACGATCAATTAAATGATTTTAACCAAGTTTATTTTTAAATCTCTGTCAGTTTAAACTGAAAATGACCATGTAGAACATTCTAATTTTTTCCAAAAGAAGATTTCATTCTAACAATTTCGTTATTTAATGCATGAAATTTTAAAGTGGTTTCTCCTAAAAATATATTCATAATATCTTTATCCGAATGTATCATCACCAAAATGTTTTTGATAGATAATTATTTTACTCAAGCAAGCATAAATATATGTTCTTACACATTAGATAATTTATACAATTGCCCCTCCCCGCTGAGGGTTCGAATCCTGCCAGAGACTTTGAACTTTTTTATGTAAGGAAGATATCCAGCTAGCATATGGAACTTCGGTGGTTTTATGCAGGTACCCGTTTCAGCCAGCAATAATGAACGAAAGGACACCTGAAATCTTTTTCCATCAATAAAGTTGGAAAGTTGTAAAATGAATAATATTGTGTTGTTGTGGTGTAAAACCCAGCCATATAAATAAATGATATTTTAATCATTATTTGTGCATTCATTCGCGTTTAAGGAGTAAAAAAGAGTGCAAAAAACATATGCATATATATGTATGTATATCAAAAACAAAAGAAAAAAGAAGAATCAAACTGCTAATTGTTGTTAGTTGAGAGGCGTGAAAGTATATAAAAAAGTACAAAGTTGTCACTCTTAGTCTGTAAGAATGTGGTAGTCAGTCTATAACAGGTACATAAGCAAGTCTATGAATGTCCAGGACTTGTATCTTTAAGACGTTTGTTGTCTCTCTCCACACTAAAAATATGTATACACAGAAATTCTGTAAAAGAAATACGCTCTTTGGAACTATATTTAAATGCCTACCCTGGCATTGATGGCGTTTTTGTTCCGGGCCGGTCAGCTTGATTAAAGCAGAAAGAGTAGACTGCACGAGTTTGACATTATGGTTAAAACAAAATGGTCTTGCGATTTGACGCTCGCCAGTCCAAAAACTGAATATTGTTTTACCTAATTGTACAATAAATGTGTTATACCTTTCATTATAAAGAAAGGGTCTTAGTTTGGTAGTGAAATTTTACAGTGATAAACAAGTTAATATATATCATTACATATATGGAATAGAAAGTGTTGTGAAAACATGAATATATTTTTCATAAGATATTGCCTCCCATTCTTACTTATACAAAGCGTTATCTATACCGGTAAGATATTCTTTCGCTTGAGGACCTTTCATAACCTGATCCTTCTTGGTTAACATGATCATAATTTGATCTTTCCGGATTCGATCTTTCGTAGCCTGATCTGTCATAATTAGATCGTTCGTAATTTGACCTGTCATAATTTCTATCTCTTTTTCCATCCCTGGATGAGGAACTACTTCGCCTGCTTTCATTTTTCGGCCTGTCATTTCGTGGTTTATCCGTAAGGTTACTTGCCATCTTTTCATTGTAATAAGAACTAGACGTTCTGTCACTATAGTAACCACTTTCGTCTCGCGAACTCTTCCTTTCTGAGGGAATTGATGACGGTATTCGTTCATTGTATCGGATTTCACGAGACTGAATTTTGTCAACAACGTTATTTGGCTGCGTTATTTGTGTATGGTTTTTCTCTTTCTCCTTCTCTGTCTCTTTCTCCGTTGTCTTAGCGATAGATTGCTGATAACTATGAAGTTGTTTCTCAAGCACAAAATTTTCAGATTGCAAAGCCAATATTTCTCTCCTGAAATAAATATAAAAAAACTAGTACACCACATAAAATATATACATGTATATTGCAATTTAAATTCACATCAGGTTCATTTAAATTGTTTCTAGAAAATACAAACTCTTGCTTAGACGAGACATTGTGTGACAATATCCTTTGGTAAAAATATCAAAACGATATTTAATGGCTTTGAAAAGTAAAAGTTTGAAAAGTAAAGTTTGTCTAGCGCAATAATAACAAAATGAATAAGTAAAATTTGTAAACTAAATAGTTCAACTCGGCATGTGAGACTTTTATTTCTTTTCGCTAAGTAAAAAATCGATTATCTACTTTATTGTGTATCTATCCTTCATCACAAACAATCTTATAATATGCAAAAAAAACTTCTTGGCTGAAAGGTGACTGGACGTTAGCAGAAAAGCAGACAATATTCTTTCTGTCTTTAGCAAAACAACAAACACGACCCGGGTGTAAATATTAACAAAGGAAAAATAACCAAGTAGCGTCAATCTTGTTGATGTCAGCAAATTTGATATTGTTTTATTAACATCGTGGGGAAGAAAAGTAAAGTCCAGACGATCTGGTTTATTTGTTTGTGCTATTCATAAAGTCTCGAGAGAGAAATAAACACAAGCCTCTGGACAAGCTTCTTTTATGCAAATACTCGTACAAAATTAATAATCTATTGGTATAATATTTCCTAAGGGAATGCTTAAGTGGTACAATGGTATTTGTATTCCATTATAGAATATTTGGTAACTATATAGTTAACTCTATTATTAACTATTGTTTAGAATTCTCCCGTACTGTCGGCCTATTGATTTCTTTGTGAACATTTTGCTGAATGGGCTATATCATATATTGCTATATCATATATCATATTCAAACTCAGATAATGAAAAATACGAAAATATATGAATTAACTGTATATAACGCATAACCTATATCCATTTGAAGTGTATAAGAAGTCGTAAAACCTTGAGGTTAACTTTATTGAACATATTACCAACATTTTACTTACTTCATTTGTTGTTTCTGAAGTTTGTCAATGTCGTCATACGCGTGGTAATTCGGTTGAGACAACAGATGCGAGTCAACCCATTCAATATGTACTGTAATCCTTGGATCATCTGGTTCAGTATATAAACAGTTTTCATCTTGTAGCTATATAATACAAACAGTAATGGCTTTTAAAGGTTATGATTAAAGCTGCAATTTCTAAATTTCATAAAAACAAAAATAGGTATATTATGTTAATAAAATGGGTTTCATATCAACTCCTATACTTTGGTTGGTATACAGACGACAAAAATGAGTTTAGTAAGCGTAATAGTCTGTAATTTTTTTTATCTTATCTAGCAGCCCGAATTTAACGGTATATTTTAGCGTTAGATAACAAATGTTTTCGCACAAATTTTTAAGGCATCAACAGACGGTAGGATTTTGAAGTACAACACCAATTAAAACTAAGATGTACAGACAAATCTTAATGTGTGAAGGCTACTATTTCTTGAATTCGGAAACCTTAAGTCTAGATGTAAAGGATAGGACATGTTCTATTTTGAAAATCTTGTCGTACAGATTTCTACAGACCTCCCACCATGACAAGTAACAGAATACCAAATTATCTCCTGATAATGGGTGTAATGAATGAAATTCCAGAATAATTAGGGCTAAAGGTAAACATAGTATTAAGATGGGGTAAAATGATGTTGAAAAACTCTTCAGGAGACCCAAAGTTGTTTTATGTTCGAATCCCAAATTGTTCCGAAAATGATTATGTCACGGTATTGAACTGTTCTCTAATCAGTGGAGGTAGTTTGTAGGCGGCCGGATAGCTCAGTCAGTAGAACCGCAGTACGGTATTCCGAGGGTCCCAGTTTTGAGTCTCGATCAGGCTGCACATTAAAAAAAAAATTAACATGTTTTTAAAAAAAATGGAGGTGTTTCAATCATTACTCATGGAGAAAAAAGATTATTTAGTGAGTAAAGTATGTAAGGGATCAATAGGGAGGGAACTTTTGTTAGGGAAACCTGAGATGATTCCTATAATGCAGAATTACCGTCTGAATGCAAGACTTTTGTGTTGTATTCCTTTGAAAATACATCTTATCTCTCTAATTAGTGTTGTACGACTAAATCCTACCGTCTGTTGTGGCTTTAGATGATTTGTCTTTTGTTAACGACAGGCCTTATGTCTCGTGAAGTTATAACAGTAAAATAGGATATATGGGAACTACATTTGCCGTATTCAAGATAACAACTTTTAGGTGTTTTTTTTTAAAGTTTAACACTGAGACGAATCGCACACAAGAGCTGATTTTAGTCTTCATTTGCATATTAAAATTCGTATACAACCTTAAGTGATACCATGGGGGTTTCCTTTAAAAAAACATTTCTGAACAATATTTGATGATTAAATTTCAACAATACTGTTAAAAAGATTAATGAAACTGTAGAATGCTTGATATTAGGTCGACGGCAAAATATGTTTACATATTTATAAAATACAAGACAATGTCTCTTTTGTATAAAAATGTCATATTTAATATAATACCGTAGATAAGTAAAATAAATGCTTAAATGTCAAATAATCATATCTAGTAAGTTGCATAAATAAATTTCAACAAAAACTTGTATGTATATTAAAGAGTATTCAGTTTAACTTAATCATTTGATTTAATAAAGTCACATTTTCCCTTTAAATATGTTATTACCAGGCGTTAACACTGTCCGAGAATTTGTTGTTGTTTTTTTTTTAAATAATAAATGGATTGCAAAAGAAAATATTGCAATGAAAATTGTTTAATTCCAGAAAACTATTCATTTTTTCAGTACACATCAAATCATATTCACTAGTTAAAAAGGACATATTTTTATAATATTGTATAACAAAATATATACGTATAATTATATAAGTATGTATGTATAATTACCTCAACAACTGGAATACTTGTCATTATATTGTATCCTTCATCCAGGTCTTGTTGGACATAATATTTGGCAAAAGGGCCATAATTTGTCTTCACTTTATGCTCAGGAATGTATCTGAAATACAAAACCGATGAATATATCAAATCAGGTGAACTAAAATAATAAATACGCAAGCTTGGTATCAACATGTATCATAGTTTGGGGACCTTTCTGTTGAAAATGTGTCAGAGTTAAATCGCATACATATACATGCACAGTGCGTTAACTGGAGTACAGATATTAGTTACCCGCAATCCAGACCATTGATTGGTTCATTTTGTCTGGGGTTTACATATTGTGACGACAGAGAAAAGTAAAGCGACAGAAATATCATATTCAAATTACTTTTTCCCGGGGTTTCATATATTGTGACATCAGGAAATGTGTTTTTATGTTTGACTATGATACAAAAGAGAAAGAACATCAAAACACTCGGCAATCTGATTAATAACCGTGGGCTACGGCCCATCGTACAAATCAGATAGCCTCGTGTTTCGATGCTCTTTCTATTATTCTATTACATATTTGGCACATAAATACAGTGTTTTTTGTGTTTTTGGTATGTCCAATTCAAGCACAATAGTTGCACAATACAGCAACCACATAAAAATAAAACTGCTCATAATTTTGTTATCAACAACAGTACAATTTATTTAATATCATTTTTCTTTCTTATTCTTATATCTGTGTTCGTAAAGATAAAAAAACAATAAAGAGGTAAATTATTCTTTAAAAAGTTATAGGTATCGTTTATTTTTACCATCCAATCTTTTTCCATTTTTTTTTACATGAATTTATGCAAAAATACTCATGACTGCTATTTTTATAGCTTATGTTTGTTTAAAAATATACTTAATAACAAGGGAAAGAAAATTGTCATAAAGGCGAAAAAGAAATGTGTTAATTGTATACCACTTTGTTTTACCTAGTTAAGACAAGTATGTTCCAACACACATAGCGGCTGTATTTTCTAGGCACATGTGTGATATCAGTATAGTACAGGCGGAATGACAAAGTTTTACCAGTTGTGTCTGCCTCCATAAGCCTGAAAATAAATATCAAATATCAAATATATAAGATTTCTATTGAGCTTTGTTAAGTTCATGACAAACAAATTATATATTTTATTATAATTCAAAACTAATGAAACTGAGCTTAACACATTTTAAAAATGGACTGACCTTGATAATTCATCATATCGAGCGTAAAATGTAATGGAATTATCAGTCAGTTTATTGCTACTTATATTATTTATCATTTTTCATGCACATGCATAATTGAAATTGACGTTTTTTTTCTAAATTTTTATTGAATTGTTTAAGTAATCATACCACGCTTGTTTATCCCTGTCATAAAGATGTGCCCTGCTCTTTGACTTTCCGGCTACATTCAAGGTCACTTCGCTAATTGATACAACAGATACCATAGTGATCTTCATTTTTAGGGAAGACCTCCCTTTTGTTAGCTGGTTTAGTGAACCATTCACGATGTATACTTCTCCGTTACCTGCGATGTCAACTAGCTGGTCTAATTCCTCAGATTGAAAGGCACCATTTTCGCCTATTGACACATAATACCTAACATTGCATATATGATCAAAGCTTGTATGTCGGTGTAATTGCATAGCAATATTTTCATCTTGCTCAACAGATCCCTCATTCGGATACAATGAAATACTCCAGTCAAACAGACCGTATGAAAAATATGATGATTCTAACTTGGTATCGCTTGCATATCTCGAGTGTGTTTCACGGGGTATTCTCACATAACATTCAAATGAGCAGTTTATTTTCCTCATTTCAAGCTCTATGAGATAATCACCAGACACTTGTGTGAAATCTCTCTCCAATAAATCATTGAGACCGACGAAATTTTTCCTACCGTGTTGACTGGACTCGGTAGTAAATACACACCCTTTTTCAATAAATGTCTCGTTTCTTGTAAAGTGTTCTCTATTTAGTAACGTAAATGAGAAATCGATCTGACATTTCATCCCATTACATGCTGACTGCAACTTCAGGAAACATCCAAGATGTAATTCTGTACGTATGAAGTAGGCGGTCCACTTATGATAACCATACACAACGTCTTTAGTGTATGTATCCGGATTATCATCCGTTACCAGCTTACTTGGTAAAAGGAACGTGAACACTTGGGAATCAAATCTATCGTTCAGTTTTAAAAATCGATGAAGTTTAGCCATTGTTTTTGTTTGCGAAATCACTCAGTTCTGTATACTTTTCATAAATGACTGTAAAAAAAAAGATTACCAATTTTCAAAAGAACTATTATGAATATAGTACATTATTTTTATTTCTAATGCAGCAAGCAAATATGTTAATCATATTATAGTGTACGAATGCCAATTGACAATGTAGACACTATTCCAATAAACACGCCACATAAGTTACAGAGGTCATGACGTAATAACATAAATCAAATTGTCTCCACAACGAACAATTAGCATTTGACTTAATGTCTGTGTTATACTCTTGGGACACGGTCATTCTATTGTGGCTCCTAACAATACGACATTAGTTATATTTACTGCCACGTTAATTGAACAAGTAACTGGTAATTGATAGTTACCGTCTATAGTAGAATATAAGTCCAAGTACGAGATGAATACAAACTGCCTGCAAGTTGCACGCTTAGTTAAAGCATAAAGCAAGCGAAATAATGTATTATTAATATTATGCTGATTTAAAATTAAATAATTATAACGCAGCACATGCTATTATAAATTTACGCGAAACGAATTGATATCATGATGTTTCTTATTACTTCTGATGATATATGAGATGATATAAAACAAACATGGTCATACATGTATTGTCCATCACCATAAATATGAGATCAATTTAATTTATTATATTATTATATCCTAATCTTTTGAGTATACATAATTGATATTTGTCACAATTGTATGTTCTATGTACACCTAGATTTTGTAAAATGTAGTGGCTAGTCACTAGAAACTGTAAAGTTCGTTCGTTCGTTCGTTCGTTCGTTAAAATTAAAAATGTATGAAAAACATTGTCGCCATTTTTGTTAGGGATTCTTACTTAGCTTCTCAGAGAATCGTACTTAAAAGATTCGAAACATAAACATTTTTGTTTGTTTAGGATACTGTATGTTTTATGAATAAAGGTTGGTACATCAAATATACACCAGTTTCTTTATTCATGCAAATATGTTTATATGTATATGAAATAAAAAAACAATATCATAAAAATATTCTTGTTACCATATCATACTAAGTTGTAGATCAGATAATTATTACAAATCAGCTTATCTATTAATATATCACTGTGTAAATTAAATGATAGTGCTAGTTATTTTTCTTCAATACTTTATTTGTAGTTATTTTAAAGTTAGTTTTATATTTATATCAGAAATATTGATCTGACTTTTAAAATTTCGATAGTAAAATTGTATACTTTAAAATGTGGTTAACAAATTATGATAGACTCCCATATCTTGTTATAAAAATGATTATATGTTGTAAGTTCTGCCTGGTTTGGTGTATAACGTGTAAATATGGGTGTGACTTTAATAAACTAAAAAAAAACTTACAATTAATTTCATCAAAGCTTCAGATTTTTTTTTTGTTTTTTTTTAAAATATATGTAAGGTAATTTAATCAATTTTGATAACGCAGTTTGCAAACTAATTGAATATTTATTTTTGTATGTGTGTAAAAATAGCATTGATTTCAAGCAAGACAAATAAAACAAGAGGGCCATGATGGCCCTGAGGTCGCTCACCTGTATATAGGCCCCCAACCCCCACCCCCCCCCCCCCCCCAACGTTGCAGGGCCACTTTAACCCAAGGGCTTTTATTTGCACAAACTCAGTAGACACCCATAAGAAGATGTTTCATGCTAAACATCTAAGCTCTAGCTCATTGGGCTTCATTGAAAGAAGATTTTTTTTAAGTTTTTTAGTACATGTATACACATATAGTTAAAAACAATGACACCCCTGGGGCCGGGCCAGTTTTGACCCCAGGGCTTTTATTTGAACAAACTTTGTAGACACTTACTAGAAGATATTTCATGCTTAATATCTAAACTCTAGCTATTTGGGTTTTTTCAAAGAAGATTTTTAAGTTTTTGCTATACACATATAAAGAAAATCAATGACCCCCGGGGCGGGGCCAATTTTGACCCCAGGTCTTTTATTTGAACAAACTTTGTAGACACTCACTAAAAGATGTTTCATGCTTAATATCTTAACTCTAGCTATTTGGGTTTTTTCAAAGAAGATTTTTTAAGTTTTTGCTATACACATATAAGGAAAATCAATGACCCCCGGGGCGGTGCCAATTTTGACCCCAGGGCTTTTATTTGAACAAACTTGGTAGACACCTATTAGAACATGTTTGATGCTAAATATCTTAGCCATAGCTCTTTGAGTTCTTTAAAAGAATATTTTTTAAGTTTTTACTATATGCATATAGGGAAAATCAATGATCCCCGGGCGGGGCCAATTTTGACCCCAGGGCTTTTATTTGAACAAACTTGGTAGACACCTATTAGAACATGTTTCATGCTAAAATATCTTAGCTTTAACTCTTTTGGTTCTTTAAAAGAAGATTTTTTTAAGTTTTTACTATATGCATATAGGAAAAATCAATGACCCCCTGGGGTGGGACCAATTTTTACCCCAGGGCTTTTATTTGAACAAACTTGGTAGACACCTATTAGAACATGTTTGATGCTTAATGTCTTAGCTCTATCTTTTTGAGTTTTTTTAAAAGAAGACTTTTTAAGTTTTTTACTATATGCATATATTAGGAAAATCAATGACCCCCTGGGGCGGGGCCAATTTTGACCCCAGGGCTTTTCTTTGAACAAACTTGATAGACACCTATTAGAACATGTTTGATGCTCAATATCTTAGCCATAGCTCTTTGAGTTCTTTAAAAGAAGATTTTTTTAAGTTTTCACTATATGCATATAGGGAAAATCAATGACCCCCCGGGGCGGGGCCAATTTTGACCCCAGGGCTTTTATTTGAACAAACTTGGTAGACACTCACTAGAAGATGTTTCATGCCAAATATCTAAGCTCTAGCTCTTATGGTTTTTTAAAAGAAGATATTTAAAGTTTTTTCTTTCGGTTGCCATGGCAACCAGAGTTCTGCATGGAATTAAATTCTTTGAACAATTTTTAAAGGTGACCACCAAAGGAACATTCCTGTGAAGTTTGGATGAAATTGGCCTTGTGGTTTATGAGGAGATGTCATTTAAAGTAAAAGTTTACGGACGACGGACGGACGACGGACGGACGACGGACGGACGACGGACGCCGGACGAAAGCGATCACAAAAGCTCACCCTGTCACTTTGTGACAGGTGAGCTAAAAAGTTACATCTATGAATATGAAAAATAATTAATGATGTTATATTAATTGTCTAGACAATCAATTGAATGGTCACCAATGAGAAAAGAATATATCATTTTTTTATTCATCAAAGTTACTCATGGGACATAACAATCTCCACAAATCTTCTCAATGCAGCAAAATCATTTTTAGGATGCTGATTAAGACAATAATATTTGGTTTGGTAGAATAAATATACCGTATATAGTGGGCGGGAAATAAGGTCTCTGCTGTCAAAATAGTGCAAATTGTGATACAAGCATGAAACTTTCAGAAAATTATCTTTAGACCATGTAGATTTCAAAAGTGAAGTGGGCCCAAAAATATCTCTGCTCATTCAAGATGGCCGCCATTTTCAAGATGGCCGCCATATAAATTTGACGTACATAATAGCTCATTCATTCCATCTTTTTGCACAGACTTGAAACTTACACGAAAGCATGCATATAGTTTCCCCGTTTCAAATATTTAAATCTTTAAGCAATTGCGCTTGCATATTTCTTCAGAATCCAAGATGGCGTCCAATATGGCTGCCAATTTTAATGAAAACTGATATATCGCTTTTGTAGTATAATTTTTTGCACACAGTATGCTTATTTCCATATAAAATTGTTAAACATATTAGAATAAAAATCAAATTTTAGGTTAACCACATTGTTAGTCATGTTTTTAGTTTTTTGTACAAAAAAAATCTTTAACAATATCAAAGAAAAAGTGCCACTTTTTGCATTTTTCTCTAACATGGTTTTCTAGGTCTATGTACAAAATTCCAAAAGTTACATAGTTTCTTAAAGTGTATTTGATATTGAATCAACACTATGTTTTATTGTATAATTGTAACAAAAACAAAAAAATGTGAAGGTTTTATACTTAAAGTGGGTGGGGTAAATTTATCAGACAATTGTAGTACAAAATAACGTCTTTTATGAATTCTTATGCAAATATTCACTGTAAAAGTATTTTATTGTATTATGGTATTTTTGTCTTCCTTCAGGTCTAGAGGGTGTACTAAAATATCAATAAATGCAGATGCAATCATATGTATACATTCAGTTTAATTTTAAATGTGTTTGCATGATATAAGTTGTTTCAATATTCTTAATATAATTTGATAATTGTACAGAAAGAAGACTGAACATTTATCAACGAACCATATGTTAGATAAAATCATGCCTGGACCTAAGTGAAATGTTGTCTATTTATGAATAAAATTATTTCCTGGACAATTAAGTCTTGCTAAAAGCTTGTAACAGAATGATTCTAAGTTATATTTACTTGCACATCTTTGTAACCAAGTATAATGGAGTTAGTACTGTCCATTTCTAATAACTTATGTAGACATAATATTTAAAAAAAATAACGCGACTGATACATCATATTATCTATGTGTGCTAAAATAGGTATCAATAAAACCGCTTGACCCACATAACATAGCTTATGATTTGGAATATAAACTAAATGCATTCATACTTTATTTTCCCCATTAAACAATAGAGAAAAGTTGACCCTAGATCACTCGTGTAAGATCCACTGCTGGAATTTTAAGGTCTATAATTCTTTAATACTGAAGAATGCTAAAAACATATAAGGTGTATCTTTTTTCACCAAATACAGTCATGATTAAATTTTATAAACTATTTGAAAAGAAACATGCCCAATAACTAGGCTCTTAGAACTTCAAAAAGACTCATATAACTATATTCCAATAACAGTCCATGTAAACTAAGTGATTTTGACCCTATGCCAAAATAGTTCATAATCTTTATATAGCATCACAATGTGATGATATACGATATATTTTCTTCTCTGTACACTGTAGTTTCGGAGAAGAATTTTATTATATAAGTCAATGTAAACAAAGTGACAGGTAAAGCCATTTTGGACTGCAGGAGCATGATTTAAAGGCCCTCACGAGGAACACAGTTTTTAAAGACCTGTGTAGGGAATCTTATTGAAGTTTTTTTGTTGTTGTTGTTATTTAAAAAAAATAATCACCAACAAAAGAAACTACAATGCCTAGAGCTTAGATAGTCACCATATAACCTCTCCAAGTAAAGAAGACCTCTTTTAAAGTTACACAAAACACTTTTGGGTCATTAAGTGTACATGCAAAATTAAAAATCTTCTCAAAAATCAAAATGCACTGAGCACAGGTACTAAGCATGTAGCCCCACCTTATTTCTTTATTAACATATTTATTGTATCATGCTCATAGAGCCACCTGGGTTCACAGTCTTGTTTAGAAAAACATATTAAAACATCAAGTGTTAAACAACAATGACTTTAACTAAGATATTTGGGATGTAGCCTGATATAACATGCATACATTTGTATGATGCTTCTGCAGTCTAAAATGGTTTTGCAATGAGTATCACTTAATTTACAAAGACTAATGTATTAAATCTGTTTTCTCCTAACCAACAGTATCCGACGCATAGACATTAATCATGTATCATCATAATTGTGTTATACTCTACAAATATTTGATATATCATGGTCAACATGGTCAAAATTTGATAAGTTTATATGGACTCATATATGAATATGGTTATTAAAGTCCTCTCGTGTGAAAAAAATTGCAACTAGATATTGAGCATGTTTCTTTAAACGCAACCGGATTCAATTATGACACAAATCATGTGTGTTATGACATAATTGACACTCCCAAAATGATATTGTTACCTGTTTTCCAACAATGGTCTTAGGTGAATGATCCAGGGTCATCATTGCCCTCTTATTGAAAGAAAAAAGGAGATATGATTACTTTAGGAAATACACTTACTTTGTATCTTAACTTAAAAAAAAACTGCATGCAGGCCAGGCCATATCATTGATATATCTGTTTCACATTATATACATTTTGTTGGCTTTTAAGCCATGTTTATATTATAAATATAAAATTGTGAAGGAGTCAAAAATATGCGTTTATGGACTACCTTTATACCTTACATTCATGTACATGCTTGCTATTTTAAGCACGTTTAGTTGATTTATTGTCTTCTTATATGTCTTTACAATTAACAATTAATATATGATATCAAATATATTGAAACAAAAAAATATCATGCAACCAAATTTAAGAACTGAATGTATACACATGTTTGTATGTGCATTTCTTGCTTAGCCACTTGGCCCGAAGGAAGACAAAAATACTTTCATGCAATGAAAATACGTTTTAAGTTGGAACATTTGCATTAGAATTCATAGAAAAGCAAAAAGGCAAAGAAATAGAATGAACTTAGCTATGTTTATTTTCTGTTATTTTTTCTTTTACAATAATTACCATATAAAATTACCCCACCCACTTTCACAAAATATAGAACCTACAGATTTAATGTTTTTCTTACATTTTTTACAATAAACACATGATATTAATGGAATGTCAAATACAGTTTAAGATATAAAGTAACTTTTTTAACTTTGTACATTAATTTGAAAAATATGAAAAAAAAATGGATTTTTTTCTTGATCTTTCTAAAAGATATTTCTAAGACAAAAACTTTTAAAATGTTTACTTTTATTGAAATTAACATATAATTTGATTATCTCTGATATGTTTAAACACTTTTTATCATAATAAACATAATTTGTGCAACAAATTATACTATAAAAATGATATAACAGTTTTGCACAAAATCGACGGCCATATTGGACGCCATCTTGGATTTGGAAGACGTATGAAAGAGAAATTTTGTAAGATTTAAATTTTTGAAAAGGAGAAACTATATGCATGCTTTTGGTGTAAGTTAAAGGTCTCTACCAAAACTTGGAATGAATGAGCTAGTATGTACGTCAAATGTATATGGCGGCCATTTTGAAAATGGCGGCCATCTTGAATGAGCAGAGATATTTTTGGGCCCACTTCACTTTTGAAATCTACATGGTCTAAAGATGATTTCCTGAAAGTTTCATGCTTGTATCACAATTTGCACTATTTTCTCAATTTCCCGCTCCACTATATAGCGAAAAAGTGCAGGATATAAATTCGATATAAAGATAATAAATGGTCTTTGTCTTAGAAAGAGAAGTCGTTAAAAGAAGATTAAACAGCATGATCAATATATACGATTACAACTATCTATTTAAAAATCAATCATCAAGTCAATATTGTAAACAATAAGTATAACTGGTATATACGTTGGTCAATATCTACTGTATCTATTAACAAATCAATCATAAAGTCAATATTGTAAACAATAAGTATAACTGGTTTATACGTGGGTCTCCTTAGGCCTATCTCAAACGCAAAATAAAAAAACGCTACACTGACATTACAAATATTTACTCATTCAAATATATTCTAGCTGCAGTCCTTAAATGTAAAGTATTCTTGTTTTACAATTCAATTCCAACTTAAAGAAATTAAATAAAAGTATATAAACATATTGATCATTATATTTATATTGGTCATAATGTTATTATAATTAAGATAACTAGTAAGAGTTCTATGTTACATGAGAACACATTAAAAACTCCAACATTTTTTTAATCTCACTCATAAAATTTCGTCCTCCATTGTTTTATAAAGCCATAAGGTTCTATGTAATTAAATTAATAAAGGTATGTTAAAAACGGTACACAATTAAGTAAGCTTAATTGTGTACAAGAGTCATTCAATAAATTCTGATAATGACCCGATAACGTTGTAATATCAATGCATAAATTGCTTACATCGTAAAGTTATAAAATGAAAGCTATCCCGTTCATTAGTATCATATAAATTATATCATTTAGACGAAATCAAACGTCGATAATCCTGAATTTTAATACATGTTTATAATTTAACCTTAAATTGGCATCAGTCCTAACACTTGTCTAAAGCCTTGAAATACTTAGTTATAGAGGAAAGCGGAGAACAGTCTATTACTACCCGTATTGAGAGAGACGCTTCACTAAGAAAACATGAATTATTATTGCAATATAATATATAGAACACACTAAACTCGAAAAAAGTAATTAAATCTTAAAATATTTATGATATAGTGATGTTTAAATATCAATCAGGATTTTAGATCTGGTGAATCCGACATAAACGATCAAGTAGAACAAATATAGTTAGACGTTGCTGCAAATTGATCAATTTGTATTATTCTTAATCAATAGCAGTATGGAATAAATGAGCCGCGTCACGACAAAACAAACATAATGGGTTTGCGACCAGCTTGGATCCAGACCAGCCAGCTGTTCGCTTACAGACCCTATAACAAGTAAAGAAACTGATAGCGAACAGCATGGATCCTGATCAGACTGCGCGGATGCGCAGGCTGGTCTGGATCCATGCTGGTCGCAACCCACTATGTTGGTTTTGTCATGACGCGGCTCAAATGATTTAATTTGAAACAGTGCGTCGCCTGTTACATGTATTTACGATTATATGAACTATTTCAAACAACAAACCATGCATAAATTCCAATTATTGCACGATTTGGTCTTTCAATCACAATTTATGTTCCTATTAAGTATAGTCAATAAAGATTGATCTAACTTCAATGTTTGAATATTTGAGGAAAGTTGATATTGGGATTATTTTATAATCACTCTCATTTCTTGTTCAACTGTATGCCTCTCAAAGTATAGCTTATTAAATATTTATAATGAAATTTATTTTCTCGCTGGCCATCTTCAATGAAAATAATTGATTAGGTTATAATTTTACAATGTTTCAAACAGGCAGATAAAGTTTTACGTTTTTTTCCTTTTCCTTCTTTAAACATGAACCAAAAGGGCCGAATATGACCATTTGCTGATAAAACAGTTAATTAAAAAATGTTTGACTGATTTTGGTGTTAAGGTATGTAGAAAGTATATTTCCGGTAAACTGTATTTGACTGTATGTAATGTAAAATGATGAAGGCGAATTCATAATTATGTTGTCATTTATGAATTACACATGTCTTGAGAGAAAATATTTTTAATCTGTAATTTATGTTTTGAAGTATGTATCAATGTAAATATAGTTCATCTTACATACTTACTAGAAGAATTTATTTTACTGGATGGAAACATAGAAAACATAACAATACTTATGTGAAAAAAAGGAAAAACAATATTATACATTCAAATATATGTCCATAAACAGGTGCTAACAGCAAATAACAAATTTAATACTATGAATAAATTAGCAATGGTTAACATAGTAATACATGGTCAGTATATGTAGAACATATTTGAAGAAGCCATCGATCAAATTTTTAAGCGCACTTGTTCAGTTCGTCAGTACGTGAATAATCACATAATTAAAACTTTAAAAAAAAAATAATACGATTATGGCAACTTTTAAAGATTTAAAGCATTATATATGTATTATATGACGTTTCTCCAGCCTTTCTGCTGTAAAAATATCTCCGATGCTTATCTAAGCATTACCTCAGTCATTAACAGGTTCCTTAAAACAATATCGCCCTTCGGTCAGCTAGCTTGTAAAATGAGTTTGAGTCCCAGGCAGGCGGGACTACAAGCCTAAAAGGTGATGAGCAATTAATACTATGTAAAACAAAGGTTCAGAAATACTTACATAATGATTCGCAACTCTATCTTTCATACTCATATAAATATTTGTAAATTTATTTAAATTATTTGAAGTGATAGTTGCCAAAATTTAAAATTGAAATTAATGAAGATAAATGTAAAACTTTTCTTACCTCTATCACTTCATATCCATACTGTCATTCACTTTTGTCAGTTCTCTCATGCATATTCTACACCGATACAGCGTTCCTCTCTCTGTAGTGAAAACAAACGCTAGATATTAATAAATAAAGAAGCGAGTCAACAAATGGAATCAATAATGGAATAATACGGATGGTTTCTTTAACACTAAACAACTACCGATATAACATGTATGTAAATTGATCAAGATAATTAGAGAAATAAAGTTACCAGCTACAAAATACCTAGTGTATAGATCGAATTCGCTATTCTTTTCATTATCTGTTTATATTAATATTGACATATTGGGGTGCTGATAATTATTTATAAAAGTATAATATTCATCGCCTAACTCTTTTACCACTTAGATCCCGAATGTGCATTTCAAAGCGAAAAAGCGTAGTGGTAGAGTGTTCGCATCGTAAATGTAGAAACCCTGGTTTGAATCCTAGAAAAGGCATTTTTCATACATTACAGGCGATTTGAGAACATAAAGGTTTACAAAGAGTTAAAGTCAAAACGTCTAATACCTAAGGTACTAAATGACTGAATAAATAGCAATCAAAGAAAATGGTTAAATACAAATGTTCCAAAGTTTTAAAAAGTGGCTTATGAAATTCAGAGATTCAAATTGTATGATTAACTTTAAGCGGTGCAAAACATAAAATATATTAAAGTAATACAATATCATGATAAAAAGATTTATAGCATACAAAATGAACACTCACAGTCATAAAAATCATATTGCATTTGCAGAATACTTGACCTACTAAAAAGCTCTAACTACTAAGCTGCGCGGGTTCGTGTGTCCATTTCTACTTTCTATTATATTGCAATACAAATGCAAAATGTAATAATTAAATGACTTGCACAACCCATTATACATTTAAGTTGAACAAGATAACATTTACATTTACGGTGGTACCATTATTATACCAATATATATTTTGGAAAATGAAATACACATACACATTTTGCATTTTGTCGCAATATATTAGAACAAATAGACGGGAGTATGGACATTTAAACCCGTGTAGCGTTGAGGTCTAGAAAAATGTTGTTTCGAGTGAGCATATTTAAGTATGATCTTTACTTCCAGAATGTCTCTATATTTTGTCACGTGAGTGTTAATTTTCTCTTTTTAACCTTTTTAAACAATTTTAGCACAATTCTTTATATCTATCTTCTTCCATCGCTTTTAATGTAGTCATATAGCACTGTTTTAAATTCTAACAATGTTAAATGCTAATGTGTGAAAGGACAACTAAGATGAGGTGTTAATAAGGCTTAAAACAAGGGCAATATTGAATTCAAACATCATTAATGTTAGTTTGTAAAATATTAAAATAACATGAAACCCAATCTGAAATCCTCGGCTATGATTTATAATAACCTCGGACTTTACAGAGATTAAAAGTGGGTTTTTTATCACGTGGTTTCATATGTGAGTGTAATCTCGTAAAATGGATAACAAACGTATATATTTCACATTCAAAGGGAATTATAGTCTGTTTTGGTAAAATTATTATTGAAAATATGTCTGATAATCATAAAATGCCGTCTGGTGTACAATTGTAAACAAATCCGAATTAATGTTAAAATTTTGTATTAATAAGTTTATAAATAATGTCCTGTTGACTTTTTAACTCGACTATTCGAAGAATAAGGAAAGCTATGCTAGTCCACGGAGTAACCACTTATAAGAGGCGTACCACCTCAAATATTTTTAAAGTCCATTGATGTATGATTTTTAAACTTTGCACACTTGTTCACCATCATGACACCAAACTGTAGACAGGAGGAGGTAACTGTATCAAGCATTTTGACAGACTTATGCCCCTTTTTCGACTTAGAATTTACGTTAAAGTTTGCGTACCAACTCAAATATTTTCAAAGTCCATTGACATATTGCTTTGAAACTTTGCACACTTATTCATTATCATATTTTCAACCTTTGTACAGGAGTAGGCTACTATACGTATATCAAACTTTTTTTACAATATTATGCCCCATTACTATCAATAACTCAGAATAGTCGAGCACGCTGTCTTACTGACAGCTCTTGTATATCTACATATTTAATTAATTTAGGTAGACTTCTACTAGATATAATCTTATTTAACAACTTCCAGTAATAACTTTTTGTTTGCATTCAGTTCCTTAGCGTAGGTATGACCAAAATACCGTATCCGTTCTGTGTATGTTTTACTACTGTGTTCGAGGTTCTTATTCGAAGTTTGTCAGAAGGATTCTAATTAGTAATTATATACTTCAAAAACACAAAAACATTTCCATATAGATTTTAAGAATTGATTCCATCAGCTACAAAAGAGATTAAAAATATTTGTGTGCCCCTTATATTTGTAAGATTTAATATTTAACCATGATTTAGTTCTTTTTTTCTTGAGTGGAGAAACATTAACAATAACAGAGAAAAATACTAAGATAGAAGATGATTAAACCTCATATAAATTAATAATTATTAAATATAAGCTATTTTTGTTTCGACATTACCACAGCTGATAAAGTTCGTTGCATACGCTTACTTGGCAGCAAAATAAAAACTACGCGAAAGTAAATGAAATTAGATTCGTAACAGTACACTATTTCTTTTATCTTGGAAATAAGACAAAAAACAAAGGGATTGTTTCTACTTGCAATAATATCCCGGCTATTAGACAGTTACAATGTGTATATAATTTAATATGATCATGTTCTATGTTGATGACTAAATAGCTTTTGAAAATGTAATTATAACATTCCCGTGTTAATAAGCAAAACAAAAAGGTAATTAACTCTAATTATGTCATAACTTTGTATTTAGTTTCAAAAATTTAAACATTTTCTATGAAGGCTTATTTCTGCCACCAAATAACCATATAACTAACTAGTTAATCATGTGGTTTACTAGTTACGTAACTAGTTAACCACTTAATATTAAGCTGGTAAAATAATAAAAGGATGGCAGTTGTAGGCACTAACATGCATTAATTATGATCTTTTATTTATTGAAAAAATTAACTAGTTACGTAACTAGTTAACCACATAACTTACTAGTTAATTAAAAGGTTAACTAGTTACGTAACAAAATAACCTCTTAATTAACAGATCAGAACAGAACATATACTTTATTTCTGACTTGGGCTCGACAACCATCATCATAACATACATATACATGACCATTTGACAACATTTGAGTTATTTGATATATCATTTCTTTGAAAACTTAGAATAGTTGTTAAAATGCAGTTTTGACTCTTATCGCCGTGTAACTTTAACCAATATTTTGCTATCCTTACATATCTTTCAATATACATTGGAAATCTTCCAAGTTCAGAATACAATGATAGAGTATTTGTTGACATTTTAACATTCAATAACCATTTACCTCTTAATTAACTAGAAAGTTATATGGTTATCTGGTGGCAGAAATATGCCACCATAATTTTCATATAAAAGTATAGAAAAAAAATACGGTTTGAAACAAAAACTTTGCATTTCTGTTTCATTTCCTACTCCAAATTTTCAAAAGGTTAAAAGTTAACCGGTTATATATCAATTAAATTTAGTGCAAACAGCATTTAACTGAAAGAACAAAATTGTAATAAGTTTTGTGTAATTATAATAACCTTTTTGTTTATATTGACTAATGTCTTAATATCTTATAAGAACAGAAATGAATGCTTAAATGAGGAGAAAAAGAAGCAAGACATATTCTGTCAAAACAGAAAGAAAAAGAAACAAAAATAGAAAGATATCGTAGAGAAATCCTTATTTAGATTTACAACATGACCAAACAATTCCAAAAATATCCTTTGATATAATGTTCTAAAAGCTTCTTAATGTTGACATTTTATTAACGACTTATTGTTCCGTCTTCAGAAAAAGTGGTTGTTTCAAAGACTATAATACATGTACTTCAAAATTATAAAATGTAGGAAACATGGATTTATTTTTATAAGAAGCAGAACTTTTACAATTCACAATTGAATGATAAAATAACAAATGTTTCATGTCCATGAAAAAAAGAAAAAAGATATAACATTCGACTAAATGAAAGAAGAATGAATAATTTACGCAATCTGTTCTACCCATCTTCAACAGGATGATAAGCTGTCAGGGATAAATAGTAAAACAGTTTGCTATCTGAATCATACGAAGTCCTGAACAACGTGATAAAAACTAATTCTAGTTAAAGCAAAAAGGCAAAAAACAACAAAAAAACAAACGCTCATTATATATACACAGAGCAAATCATAAAAAAAAGATGAAAAAAGAAGAATTTTGTGTACGTATGATTAAAAGATATTTGTATCCGTCAATATCTGTCTGTGTTTCTTTGGAAAGTATAATATCATATTGTCATTTATGACAGGCAAACAGACAACGACAGAAAAATGATAAAGCCTCTCTTGTTGTTGTCTTCAGTATTAACAGACATGAAACTAATATATTTCCAATAACGTCAAACTTCAGATACTAACGATTCTTTGACATCTTTGTTCACTCTTAACAACTTTTCACTCTTCTAATTTGAAGACTTTGTAAACACTTTTTATGTCCAGTAACGCGGGCATTGTGCAAAAGTAAGGCAGAATTGTGCAATTAAGTGGCTAAAACGAGTACCGCGATAAGTAAATGGACCAATATTTTTTATTGTACACAAAATTGGAAGAAATGAATTAGCGCATACGGTCGCAGAGATATTATACTGTAAACCTCATCAAAATATTTCGATGAAGATGCTTATTTTTCAAGATCATTAGTGAGAATGAATGACGACCTGACTAGCGTATTAATGGCGAATTTTAGTTTCATGGACATCTTTAAATACAATATCATACATATTACTTCATGATTTTTATATTCGGTGTACCAGAGACATTTTCAAATCTACTCGTGTCATATAACACTTTAAGAGGTAACACCGAGTTTGTGAATGAAGCACTTAAGCAAGGCGGTTATCACATTAAAAGTAGCTAATTCTTTTTTTACCGGCTTCCTTCTATTGTCATACGAAACTTGAAGTTTGACAAATGTCTTAGGTATACAGACTATGAAAAAAAATGTTTTAA